GGAGGAGGATGGAGTTGTGTGGAGGAGGATGGAGTTGTGTGGAGGAGGATGGAGCTGCGTGGTGGAGGATGGAGTTGTGTGGAGGAGGATGGAGCTGCGTGGTGGAGGATGGAGTTGTGTGGAGGAGGATGGAGTTGTGTGGAGGAGGATGGAGTTGTGTGGAGGAGGATGGAGTTGTGAGGAGGAGGATGGAGTTGTATGGTGGATGATGGAGTTGTGTGGAGGAGGATGGAGCTGCGTGGTGGAGGATGGAGTTGTGTGGAGGAGGATGGAGTTGTGTGGAGGAGGATGGAGTTGTGAGGAGGAGGATGGAGTTGTATGGTGGATGATGGAGTTGTGTGGAGGAGGATGGAGTTGTGTGGAGGAGGATGGAGTTGTGTGGAGGAGGATGGAGTTGTGTGGAGGAGGATGGAGCTGCGTGGTGGAGGATGGAGTTGTGTGGAGGAGGATGGAGTTGTGTGGAGGAGGATGGAGTTGTGTGGAGGAGGATGGAGTTGTGAGGAGGAGGATGGAGTTGTATGGTGGATGATGGAGTTGTGTGGAGGAGGATGGAGCTGCGTGGTGGAGGATGGAGTTGTGTGGAGGAGGATGGAGTTGTGTGGAGGAGGATGGAGTTGTGTGGAGGAGGATGGAGTTGTATGGTGGATGATGGAGTTGTGTGGAGGAGGATGGAGCTGCGTGGTGGAGGATGGAGTTGTGTGGAGGAGGATGGAGTTGTATGTAGGAGGAAGGAGTTGTGTAGAGGATGATGGAGTTGTGTGTTAAAGACATATTTTCCGAGAACGACTTAGAGCACCTCGTGAATGCTTGTCGATGCCATGATTTCTACGCAGAGCAGGTTTCTTCAGTGGTGTGGAAGGTGTTGAGTTACGTCGCGCAAGCAGTATTAGGTAAGCTGGACTTGAGGACAAGTCACAAGACAGTTGTGGTTTGTTTTTCAGCGCTTATATATACATCTACTAGGACGCCTATTGTTGTGTTTTTTATCACATGCTGGATTTCTTTATGTAGCAACATGACCCAACATCGTTTCCATGGTCGAGCAGTATTCGCTCCCACCACCACCACCTGCTCTCTGTCCTGGATCACTATTGGATCACTTAAATGTTCAAAGATCTTGCGTATATATGGCTAGAGCCTGTTATATAGCTATGCTGTAAATCGGTGTTTGGCTTTGTATGCGGTGTCTTGGGTAAGAACGAAATTTGTCACGGTGCAGGATCCGAAAACAGTACTTACTTCAATTCCGTCACACATTACTCAAATTATAATTTTAATCAAAATGGGAATTGGCCGTCAGGAACAAAGATGGTGGATATCGCAAATGGCGTTATTTTTGGGTGATCGGGCAAAATTGTTTGCCTTTCATGCATTCAGGCACACACGAAGATGCTGCCCAATGAACAGATGCATGTCCAGCTAACCTTGGCTCATCCCGCTTTTTGGCACGTTTTTCTTTCTCTTTTGTTACTTTACAGGTTGGTTCTTAGGCCTTGTACTACCGTATGCTCTTGAATTCCCAGTTCAGTACCATCTTAAAGATAGCAAGCATTAAAAAAAATTGTCGCTTTGTGTTAAACTACTCCCTTATAGTTATATATTGGACAACCACTGCAGCTGGACATGAAACAAGCTGCGCCAGACCATTAGCGTGTACAAGTACATACGCCAAAGGGGTTAATGCACTGCTATATATTTTTAAAATGCTGCTGGACTATTACTGCGTTATAGCAGCATTTGGTGTGGCAGTAACTTAGATTTATTCTTGAATGTGGCTTTTTCATCAGGAAAAAAAATATCTACAGGTTTGTCAGACCTTCGTTTCAAGGCAACAGGCATGACTAGCAAGCCTTCGTCATTGGGCTCACCAATCGAAAAGATGATTTGCAGAACCATTTCTCCATTGTATTGTCGTTTTTTTGGCTTTTTATAGCTTTTATCTCTTTTAGAATCTTTTAATTTTATTAGTCAAATTTGTTAATTGTGTTAGATAACTTTCAAGTTCACATTTATTTTCTTTAAAGCTGCAGCAACATTTGAACACCAAACCGGAGCAGGAGAGATATATACGGCTACGGAAAGCATGTCTTCAGTTATGGCGACACAAACCACAACAGAGGTATCTTTGTTGTGTCGTTATCATCAGTGAAATGGTTCGATTAGGTTAATGCATGTTGTAAATGCTGATGCGAGTATTCCTTTCAACACACGGATATTACTGTTTAGACAAAAGTCTCATTCATAAGGAGATTGGAATGTCCAGGTCCTGAAGGAAATAGCGTATGCCCTCGTAGAGACAGTTGTTTTCTCATTTGCTTTGTAGTTTTGTTTTACCTGTTTAATTGTTTTTGTCGAACGCGAACGAATCAGTACCTTTTGTCGTTTTTAGAACAAACAGTAATGACGTTTTCATCCGGGTAGAAGTTTTACTGCAATAACTAACCATGTAGAACTATGACGCAGGCCTCTCAATTTTTGTCTTTTAATAGGAATATGAAATTCGTGCTATTTGTCGTAAATTTGCTTCAGACCAGCCAGGACACCAAGCTGCAGAGCTCACAAAAGCAGAGCAAAATCAAAATGGTGTTTGATGATTCTCTTTGAACCGCACCATTTTGTGGGCGGTTTAAGCAACGTATCGTAGAATCTCGGACTACTTGTGCCTTCAATTTATAATCTGTGGAACTAATTAAAATCAATATCTTGATTTTTTCCTCCTTAGGTGAAATCAGAAGAGAAAATAGTTAGCGGGAAAGGTAATAAATAGTAGTTTGCATACAGATTAATCGTGTAGTGACATATGTAGACGTAGTACAGCTTAACTTGCTAATCAACCACTAGTATGTGTTTGAACTTTCGTTAACAAAATTGTTCTGAACACTGTAACAATGGACGCACAAAGGGCAGTTTTTAGAGCCAGATTAACAATCCCCAAACCGCGCACTGCCACCGCTGATAAACAACCTTTTGTTTTGAATAAGCTACGTTTAAATGTCACCGTTGAATATCTTCCTACTTCCATACATTTGTGTTAGATAACGTTCAAAGCCATATAGTTTTTTTGTATAATTTTAAATTGTAATTTTTTTTTTATTTTAACTTGTTTATTTGTATTTCTGTGAAGCGCTTTAAGCGTCTATACTAGAATTGGTTGTTATGATTTACTTTGACGCAGATTCTTATTTCCCACACCTTTATCAAAACGCTTAAGAAGAACACACGTCCAGCTAACCTTGGTTCCTCCCGCTTTTGATGCGTTTTCCTTTTTCTTTTGTTACTTTACAGATTTGCTTACAGGCCTCGAACGACCGTCTGCCCGTGAATTCACAAGTCAGTACCCTCTTAAAGATAGCAAGCATTAAAAAAAATGTCGCTTCGTGTTAAACTACTCCCATAGAGTTATAACTGTTTGGACAACCACTGCTGGACATAAAACAAGCTGCGCCAGACTAATAATGCATAGGGTGTACAGGAACATACACCAAAGCGGTTAATGCTATGCTATATATTTTTAATTGCTGCTGGACTATTACCGCGTTAAAGCAGCATTTTGTGTGGCAGTAACTTAAACGCATTCTTGAATGTGGCTTTAGTCGAAAAAAGAAAAAAGATCTACAGGTTTGTCTGACCGTTTAAGCCAAAAATATGTGTCTCCGGTTTCTGGTATGCGCGCGCGTCGCCGTAGCCATGTGCGTCGGCAAAATGAAAAAGTCATTTTTTTTTAATAAAAGATGATGTCTCAAAACCGCCAAACTCACTGGTTTGACTGGAATCCTGCTGCTGCACAATTTTAACGTGTTTTTAAATGGGGTTATGATCGAGAATAAGCTTTATGTGGCCTCTCTGGACTCCCATATATTTGCACTAAGTTTAGTCTGGCACCATTTGCAGTCATCAGTCGACATTTGAAACAAAAAAAACAGGAAAAAAAAAGCTGCGTCGCCGCACCACTTTTTTGAGCAAGCTCGATATTACAAACCGGAGACTTTTTTTTAGTGGCCTTAAAGTCAACAGGCACGACTAGCAAGCCTTCCTCATTGGCATCACCAACCGAAAAGATTATTTGCAGAAACATTTCCCCATTGTATTGACCAACCATTTCTTTCAATTAGCAAAGTTTCAATGTCGCTGTTGAATTGTTTCGGCTTTTGTAAATCTGAAAGGAGTGGGGGTAGGATGGGTTCTGGGTATCAGTAAAGGCCAGGGGCGCTGTTCATGGGAAAAAAGGTCCAAAGTGAAAGAGCATATTTTTGTGTAAACACTTGCGATTTACACCTTTCTCTTGTATGTTTGTTGTGTTAGATAAATAAACATTCAAACGTTCAAATAAACATTTTAGCCTTTGAAATAAAATATCATATGTTTCCCTTTTTAAGCTGAAATGGAAGAAGAACACAAGAGTCAAGCACTAGGAAAGGCTTCCACAGCTACTGGAAGCACTTCCTCATTTTTGGCGTCACAAACCACAACAAAGGTATTTCTTTGTTTCTGCACTATATAATTCAGTGGTTATTGTAATTGTAAAATGTACGTTGTGAGTTGAAGTGAATTCTCACGTGTGTATTTATGTATTTTAACAAAAGACAATTGCCATATGATTTGGCGAAGCGATCTGCATGGCTACTGCTTTAGAACGACGTTGACACTTTTGTATTTCTCCTTCAGTTTGGTGGGTTCTAAGCTATAACAGGTATTTTCAATACTTGAAGAGCAATAACTGATGTGAAGAGAAACCTTTAATCTTTGGCGTTTATTTTAAATTTCAACGTTTTCAGAGTCATGAAAGAACCCTCTCATTGTCATTTTTTCCAATTAATAGTAATTTTAAGAACAAAACCCCAATGAAAATCAAATTTAGTTGCGAGATATTAATTATTGCTATGACTAATCATGTAAAATCATGAAATGGCCTATCAAATTCTGATTTTTTTTTTTGGAAATACTGAAAATGTTTAATCGTCGCTAATTTGTTTTAGACCCTTTGGGACAGAGGTCGCAAGATGCCGAGGTCACAAGAGCCCATCCCTCTGAAACTGGTGTTAGATGAAGTCAACGAGCTGACAGAGAATCTACATGAAAGTGAACGGTTGGATTGGGGACTCCAGTTACCCTACATCGCCGTGGGTTACTTCAACGAGAAGGGTGGAAGCTTGTCCCTGAAAGAGTACGGTGTGCACCTCACCATCCCGCGTGGTGCAGTAGCTCCAGGCTCTCCTCAGCAAGTCTACATCTATGTAGACCCTACTGCACCACCGAATGATGCGGTTGAGCCGACCGAGTTCGCGCTTTCACAAAGTGTTAAGTGCGGTCCTAAAGGGTTGAGATTTGAAGAAAGCGTGGTGCTGTCCTTCCCTTACCAAGCTGATTTGAAAGGTCACAGATATGACAAGCTAGTTATCAGGATGCGTCATGGCGACTCACAAGAGAGGCAATGGGAGGATGGCAATCCTGCATTAGTAACAGAGAAGAAGGCATTTGTCCTGGTTGATCATTTCTGCGATTTTTCTCTGATTGGCACACCCACTCCCGGTAGCAGTAAGCGGCTGAAGGTCGGTGCCTTTGGAGGCGTCCTTAACACGCAAAGTCTTCGGTATGCATTTCGGATCCATGTTTGGAACGACGATAAAAACACTGAAAAGGTACGTACAGATAAAGAGCATGCATGATTTTTGATGGAATTTTGCCTACATGTGCACAAAACCTGTTTAAGTATGCTTATACAGGGCGAGTCCAAAAAAGCCGGACCCAAACCCCATTTTTTTTACTCTGTGTCATTTCTTTGTTGTTTCAAACAATCAAAATACACAATAGACTGGGGGGTTTGGGACTAAAAAGGTTTTAGTGTCATTGAATTTAAATAGTGATATTCTTTGAACGGATATAGCAATTTCAGTATTGTTTTCATCTGAAAGTAGCTGATGAAATTGGCTTTCCCAGTCATTATTATGTTTGGTGCTACATATTTTTTTTAGATATGAAATATATTTGTTGGGTGTTCCGGTTCCGCTTTTTTCACTCATCCTGTACCAGCTTTGTGTAAGCAGCTGTGTGACCAACCTTGACAAAAAGCCGGTTTCCAGACTAGTCAAGCGCTTTTCAACACACGTTTAGAAAGTTTAGTCTAAATACTGTTACCCAAAGTCCTTTGCTCAAATGTATAACTTACCATACTTATAATTGCATTATTTGTAAAGATCGTCATCCCAGAGGAGGAGCACATGAATTCAGAGAGGCTGGACGTCTTCAGAAACTTGCATTTTTTCTTGGATAGTGGGAACTTGGCTGTCGAAGTGGTTGATCTTGAAGGTTGTTGGTCAATCCAAGGAGCGACTGAACAGGTTGGTCTAATAGATTATTTCCGTTCTCCATATGCTGGTGTTATAATTATGCTTGCAAGCTTGATTTTAATTGGTCATATCGTCGAGGGATTTGTAACGGTCCAATCTTATTGTTGCAATGCATTTCAAAAGAGCATCTGAAATGACAGTTGAGAATATTTGAAGTAATTATTTTGTGATTAGAGTAGCTCTTGCCGTATTTTGCCATGTATGCATTTTGAAGTAAAACAAATGAAAGTCTGTCGATAGTTCGCTTAGATATGTCCCTAATTCGCGCTTTGCCAGTAATGTTTGACTTCTCTACTTCAATTGAATTTTATTAGATCATAGACAAAGGAAAGATACAAGTCCTCAAAGACAGCTCACAGTCCGTAACATTCATTCTGAAACGGCAAACGGATGATTCAAAAGACAAAGGGTTGTACTGCGCTGTTCGAACTTACCAGTGTTCTCCAACTGACGATTCGAGGAACCAAGCTGAAGTTCATCTGTCAATATGTCGGAATCCAGTAAGTCAGTGGTTAACTGTAGTTGCTTCTTAATATTACATATGATAGACGACACCGAGTCAGATATTTAAATGTGGACGATATATTTGCTTCCTAAATTTTGTCAATTTTCTGGTGGACCATGCCCATGGTATTCTTTGACTTTGACTGATTAACTTACTGATTGACTGACTGTCACTTGTGAATTAGAATGGTTAATGTCTCTCGCTGACTTGCTGTCACTTGTGAATTAAATTTTTACCTTAATCAACTTAATTGACTGTAATTAAGTAGTTAGACGTTTGACCTATCACGTGGCTTTATATGTCACCGGGCTAGTTTTGCTCAAGTATGTCACTAACATAGGTAACGCAGCTTAAAATGTCAAGAGGTTTTCAACCATTTTGAATCAATCAAATAAAATTGTCAAGTAAATATTGTCTTAAATGAGACACGGTGATAGCCATGCATATAGGCTCGCTGATAACAAGTTCAATTGTAGGTTTAGGGACTTCAGGCATTTAACTACATTGTAAAGATATAGAAATATTGACACATCCGATCCAAAAACAGTTTCTTTTGTGCGACAGTGTTTTAAAATGTTGTAAGCTTGTTTTCTAATATTTTCTAATTCTTATATCAGGTATTTTATTTAATTGCAGGAAAACTGTACCGGTGGTCGTCAACACATGGTGAGCTTCCTTAATTATTATATAGACATACATTGGACGAGTTTGTGAGTTGAGTACGTTTGGACGCATTTGTTGCCATTTTTTGGTTCCCCTTCACTTTCCTTGTCCTTGAGTGAAAATGAAAACACTCTGAGGATTTCGCAAATGCTTCATTGATTTCTTGAGTAGTAAAAAAGTGTTTTATTTTCTGCCTGGTCTCCCGTCAACTGAAGGCAGAAGTTTTTGTGCGGCGTTTACTTGTCAGTTTAGCTAACCTACTCTCCCAAGAGAGACAAAAAGAGTATTTTCAGGCGCTTAGGTATCAACAGCAACAATAATTTTTAATGTGATGTCATTCTATATAAACTAAATCTATAGTTCTGGAGCCATGCCACACATTCAGTCAAAAAAGAAAAGAAAAAAGAAGAACTAGAGATATATAGGGCTTTGCCGCATTTTTTCAAACTACTGGTTAATGTGCAATCATGTTCAATTTCATGTGCGAACAAAGTTCTGTGGTTCGCATGCAGCTTTGACAATTGACATACCCGATTTTGAGTCCTTGATTTTTGAAATCCATAATGTGTTCAATCCTGGCAATGAGACAACATGTAGTCATCTTCATACGTTCTATGTCGAATAATACATGTAGTATCAAAATAGAACAAGAGTGATCGCAATATTTTGTTAAATATGCAAATTATATGCGATTAGGATCGACAATAAATATATTTTGAATAATTGGAAGCTTGTAGTGGATCAAATAAAACATAATGCTGCAATTGGCAGTAACAAAAATTGGCAAAATGTGAAAAAAATACTAAGATCAATAAAATACACACTATGACGTCACTATGACGTCAGTTTCATATCTATGCATTACCCATACGTGATAGCATAGTTTCACCCCAATTGTCTCTCTAGAAATATTGACACAAAACTTTAAACTATGCAAGCTTAAGAAGACGTCACATGACCCATTATGACGTTATCATGATGAAAGTGATTAAGAACCATCTCTGCCTCATGGTCTTAGTCTGTGCCTAGTTTAAAGTCAATCTAATTGCATTTCTTGTCAATTAGAATAACAAAATTAAAATTATGAAAAGTAATTAAAAACATCTAGCAATGACGTCATCATGACGTAATTTCAGATTTTGAATACTATTACCTACACACCCTCCAAGTTTCATAAGGTTCGAACATTCCCTTATGTGTTTCAAAAACAAATCACATTTTTGATGACGTCATGATTTGTCCAACATTTTTCAAACTTGAGCTCCTATATCTATGCACTAATACACCCAATACAAAAGAAAAGTGAATGTAGCATTTTTTTTATTATACAGATGAGATGGAAAATTTGAAAAAAAAATCAATAACAAAAAATGAATTGATGACGTTATTATGACGTTCATTTACAACACATCCCTGACTATGTTACATACCAAGTCTCAACCCATTTTGGGGTTCCTAAATGCAACTTAAGCATCCTTAAGTACCCTTTGTGGATAAGTTGCAGTACTTTACCCAGGTTCCTCAAACTAATACATTTCACAGGTTGATGTTAATATGCCGCCCTCGTTTGGTTAATTTGTGCATGAGGATATGATTATGTGTCTTTCGACGCTAAAATGTTGAAAAATTAGATTTTGAACAGGAATCATGTGTCTTGGTTTACAGTTTTATTGTTGAGTTTATAACAGGTTAATTCCAAGTTCGGTCACAAGTAAAGTACAAGTCCATTTACAATTGCTATTCAAGTTATTACTAACAATGGATAACGAAGTAAGGCCTTTGCTACAGTTCGTTTGTAGTTGTAACTTGGTTAGGGGCTTTGTGATGGACTTGTAGTGGAGGGCATGTATGTAACATAATCCGTCCTTAATTTCTACAAGGCAGCATGCACTTGCATTAATGTGTATTTGCAATTCGCAAGGAGCCAAAAGCTATTGCGCTAAATTTCTTTAATGTTTCTTTTTCTTAGAGAGGAGGGGCAGCCGCTCCTTTGGCCTCTTTGAAGGTAAGATGATGAGACCGATATCCGCACCACAGTAGGTTCTATTGGAAGCATTTCTTTAAATTGCAATTCCTCAATATCTACGAATCTCTTAGCATTCTACGACGTAGCATGCAAGAAGTAGAAGCAAAGACAAACATACTCCATACAGATTTCAGTTATAATAATAGACCTTATAAGCGAACTGTTGTGAATTCATCGTTACTGAACTCAAATAACACCCTCTGAGATGGCCGTAACGCATAAGGTACTACGTTGAACTATCTGATATTCCCGCCGTTTAACGTGCATTTACATGCCTTAGCAATTGCTAAAAAAGGGCAACCTTTCATGTGAAAATCAATTTTCCTCGAGATAGCAGCGTTTTTACAACTGTTTTAGATGTTAAATAGAAACGGTTCCAGGTGAGATGGCAAGTACCTCACTTTCTAGTTCAAAACAATTACCTTGTCTTTTCACTTGAAATTGAAATGTTCTCGACAAACGATTCAATTCAAACAACATCGAACATACGAATGCCCCACAAATCGTAAAGTTTGTTCCCATGAAGCAAACAAGAATTGCAACATTTTTTTTTTCTGTTGCCATCACAACTTTTTGATTATTTATAGAAATTAACGACTGTTCATGCAACACAGCCATATATCACCAGCACAGATATCCACCAACCGCAATGCAACCTCCCGGGAAATATCCCCCAACGTTTCCAGGATTATTATTCCTTGAGATGTTTCCGATGGGTGTAGTTAAGAAAAAGCTGCTCACTATAGTAGTGCGCACCAAAACGATTCAAATACATATTCCCCCCAAACATCTGAGAAATTATCAGCCCTTCTGAATGTAATACAAATAATTTGTATAACCAAAACTAACAAAATTCAGCTGCAAGAGGGTAAATCTGCCAGAAAAGTGAGAAAAAGAAATAGATAAAAGCTCAATTTAACCTGCGAAAAACAATTGCCAAAAATCCCCCAGCGATTTGCCAATTATATCAAAATAGGCCTTTGTCACCGAAATCAATATTATTTTCAAATTACCCAGGAACAGATTGGCAAAGGAGTTTCAATCAAGGTTCATGGAGAGGTTGAGCCCCAAAACTTTGGTGGGTTGTCAGAGAAAGCGGTGTGGTCCTTGTGTTATCATCTAGACTGCGAACGCGACGGCGCTAACAACTGGAGGCAACTCATGCAACGGATGACCGACTTGCCAGGCAGATCTGTTGCGGTTGTAGTTGAATCGGGAAAAATTCGCGCGAAAGGTTTACTGCAACTCCACTTCGACGTTTGCAGAGACAATAACACAACGGACAACGAAGCCATAGAGTTTTTGGTAGGGTTCCTGAGTGAGATGAAATTAGACGAGGCTGTAGAAATTATACAAGATGATCTCAACAAAAGATTGTGATAAAAGAGACTGTGATAAATAAGTAGGTAACTGGACTACCCAGTCAAGTCAAAGACAATTTAAAGTATTGTACGTCTTAAGGAAATGCAAAAAAATCACTTTAATGGTTAGACGCACGGCATAAACCACATTCGGGTGTCCTGTAAATAGCACATATTTTTGCCGGTATGAACGTGTAACTTTACGCGTATGACAACATTAATACGAAACAAGTAACAGATTACTTTCTACGTAGATGATTGCCACTTTTGCAGTCTATTTTAGCCAGTGTTTACCAACAAGCCAATGTTATAAATCATTTACAGGTGAATGTAGAATAAAAGTCGACCGCTCTAAAGGTATGTTTACGGTGAATTCGGAAGTTTCCGCATGTTTTAATCGGATGATAGGATACATTCATAACAGTGATTATGAATTTGTAAAATATTATCATTGTAAAAAAAAAGCATTTGTCAAAAGGACAGGTGTCTTTACGTGTGTAATACATTTACACTTCAGCAAAGTAAGGCCCTTTGAACTTAAAATATATTAGAGCAATACTAATGAAAAAGATCATGTAAAACCTTCATATAAATGTATACGAAAGATAATACATTTTTAATCAACTAAACAAATCACAGATGGAGGTATATGTATTTGTATGTATAGGGCCCATTTTACTATTGAAATGAAATTAAAGGTGCCTTGATCTATTATTCTAAGACAATAATTTAAGGACGTGTTTTTCCTCATATTCCCAACGTAAAATCCGATTTCAAATTTTACTGTTCTCACCCAGAGACTGAATTAATAATGTGGCTCAGAGCATTAAACTTCAACACATTATATTAACATTAAGTATTGTTGGCGGTTGGCGAGCTGCGAAGCAGATGCAAGCCTATGTAATACCAATTTCCGTCCGTCCGTCCGCCCGCGTTCAGATAGAAATGTTGAAGTTTTTGGTTCTAGCTAACTTGGGGAAAAAATTTAATGCAGCTTACATGTATCATCTCTATAACTTCAGTTTGGTTCATGTCATTGCAGTAAATTTTATGAATTTATTGAGGAATTTTTATTCAAGGAAATGTTAAAGTTTTTGATTGTTACATGTACATGTATACTGGTATAACATATACATGTATGTATACCGATATAACATGTACACTAGCCATTTTGGGGATGTGAATTAGCTTCTGGTTTGATCTTTTAGTTTGTTGGGTTGGAGTAGGGATATGGTAGGGGAGGATGGTGGTGGGGGTGGGGTGGGGTGGGGGATAAGGGTTGGACTTAGGGTTTAGGTTTGTGGGATGAGTAGGGGAGCTAGGAGTAGGGGGAGGGTCAGGGATTGGGTAAGGTTTGGGGCATGTGGTGATGGTGCTGTGTCTACAAGTACATGTATACCCATTCTTGTTCCGCTTTTGTGGGGACTAAACAAGACTTTTCCAATGGTAATACAAGTATGGGGATCAGAGAACACTGTTGGGGCTGCAAAAAGGCTCCAGCATTTGTGGCGACCACACAAGAGTTTTCTTTTGGTAACACAAGTATGGGGACCCAAAGACACTGTGGGGGCTGCAAAAAGGCTCCACAACTGGGTCCTAATTACCCTAACAATGGAAAACTTCCCCATAATGCAGTGACGGCTTACCTATATACACATGTATTTATTAGGTCATCTGTTGACTTTTTATGCTGACATTTAAAAACTGACCCCTACACCCTGGCACATCAACCAGAATCCTGATTCCCATCATGCCCTTCCCCAACCCTACCTTCAGCCTCCCTTACCACCTTTGACAGCGAGCCATGGCGGCTTCGCCGTTCTAGTCTTGTAAGAAGTTCTATTGAGAGTTTGTTGGCTTTTACTCCGAGTTCTTTTAAAAAAAATGATTAGGTTGCGGTGCATTAGATATAGGACATTAACTTCTCTTATAAATCATCAAGCATGATAGAAGGCATGGTACTCAGCAACGTTTGTGAACTGGTTTTGATTGAAAAGGTAATGGATTGCATTTAACATTTTTTTGCGCGGTCCTATTTTGGTAATGCATGATTAAATATTTTAATGTTAAATATGTTATTTTTGGGACGACGTTTTCATAAGAATAGCTTTTAAAGTGGGCATCGGTACAAAGCTTGATAAACACATGCAAAGTTATTTTAATGAAAATTAGCATGCAATGTAATCGTTGTATTTAGCCTATGCATAATGCTACGTTGTAACTCGAAGCTAGCCAAGGAAAAAGGAAAATACAACTTAACATTTTCACTGCAATCTTCCTGTATAAAGCATCTTATCTCTTTCATCATTAAATCCCAGTTATCGGCAAAATACGCTTTGTATGAACAACTTTATTGTGCGGTGCAAACCATTAAGAGAATACGCGTCACTTGTTTAGCATTTCAATATTAGTCAAAAGGTTGCCCATAACTAGCTAAAATTTGAGACAAGATCGGTGCGTTTATTAGGGGAAAACTGAGCTACAAAAGAATAGGTTGTTTGCTGTAAAAAAAATATGATGGCTGCTTAAATGGATAATTGGGTCTTTGATTATTCAAACAAAAGATTAATAATGATTTGTTTTATCATCACAAAGATTTTATTTAATTTCTTAAACTCCATCAATTGATTGATTCGTTGTTCCTTTAAGTAAACGGCTGGCTTTCGGCTTTGACTACTTGTGATGTTTCAGTTTATTTTTACTTTAAAAAGTATGTGTGTATACGATAAAGGTTCTTCTTAATCATTACGAGATCATTGCATGTGTACACTATTAGTATACATGTAGTCATATACTTTTAAGTATTCTTATATTTTGACGACAGCTGTTTTTAGATAATATGTGAAGTTTTCTTAAAGAGGATAACGCAAATCAAAATACTCTTGCTTGTCAAATGTTGTCATAGTTGCAACGAAATAAAACATAGCAATGCTTTCCATACATTTAATGTTTTTATTTCTAAACATGGTTTGGGTTTTCAACTTTGTACACCATGTGAATTTACTGTGCAAACGTCAAGTTTTTAAGATTGTTCAAACATGAATACTTGGCTGAGGGGAATCCTTATTGATGTGACATATCAATTGACTGATCCTTCGTTCCTAATATTTAAAGAACTAGCTTGCGCTTACTTCTGACAACTATCGATTGAATCAGCTATGTTATTATTGCAAGGTACATGTATATGCTAACGATACGATAACACTTCTTTATAGTCCTTTATAAGACTAGTGATCCTGCTAAAATGCTTATTGGTAGTTTTGCTTATTTGCAACGCTATTATACAGGTAGTTTTCATTTTAGCGTTTAATACTGTTTTAACCAAATATAATAATTGCTGCCTTAAACGCTTTAACGCTGGTTTTGTAAAATAAAAATGATGCCATGTATTTTTTTAATTCGCAGTCTATGCTAGCACAATACAAAATTGTGTACGCTATAATCAAGATGTAATTTTCTTTTAAAGTCTTTCATGATACCCCAATAGAAATTGGACGGATGTGTTACAATCTCACATTATCTACTGTTAATTAGAAAGCATTACTATTGAAATACCATGTAATGGAATTATAAAAGCTGAATTTTTACATTGCATATTCCTACATTACTGAGTAGACAAAAGTCCACAATCGTATCGAATTTCACTTTGCTAATACCAATCAAAACTTGGGCTAATTTACTCCCATGTATATTTTCATTGGCTTTGATTCTAAGTAGTCCCATCAAATTTATGTCAAGGAGTATAAAATCATCAACAATTTTACATACTTATTAATCTTAATACATATGTAATTGTAGGCTACATCATTTCTCTACCTGCCCGGATTATTGATATATGTGTATTTATTGTGATTATAGAAACAGAACGATACTCTATTGGTTTTACTTTTATTTGCGTTCTCATTCAACTAAGTTGTTAAATTCTCTGTGCATTTGTTTTGGTGACAACAGACTCTATACAACTGACATAAAACTGTCTGGAACATAATAGCGTATATCAAAATACTCTGGCTTGTCAATCGTGTTGCAAAATGGTATTTACTCAGATTGTTTTGAAATGTTGCTTGCTGTATCCAAAATTAAATGTAGTAGCTTTTGCCGCACATTCGCCTGAACTCTTTTGTTTTTATTTTAGATTCGTATTTGTGCACCTACTGTAAAGTATTAGAATGGCTAGGGCCCTGAAACGAAGTTAATCACATTACTGACGAAGATAAGATAAGACTGGCGAAGATAAGTTCAACAAAGAAGATGTAATGCATGTATTTTAACATCACAGATGAACTGTTGTATGCTTCAAAGAATGAAGCCTTGCCTATGGATAGCTTTCTTTCCTTTTGACTTACATATCGATACATAGTTATTACAGTCACTGCATATGACACAAAAAGATGGAGATTACTTAGACACACTCAACAATACTGGCTGCACGAAAAAAAAATTATCACATGTTCACCCCACATTTGTTGAACACCAACGGATGGACTTAGTGTTTACCGGTACGTGACTGCATTTTTTAAGAACACGAAGAGATACATCAGTGGCTTAAACTGCCAGTATGCAGAGCTGCACACAAAATAAAAAAACACTGGATAGAAAGCATGTTTCAGGCCAAAACGAATCAAGAAATATTTAAAGCTAAAGACACATATCAATAATCATCTGTCATCGTAAAAGCTTGTCCTCTTTACAAAATATAAAATAAACCCTACAGATTACAGTTTTAGTGTTTATTTTGACAATACGGGACCTGAACATCGAGAAATAATGTGTAAGTTGGGTGGGATAATTCACGAGGCACATTGTGTATCGTGGCCCGGGTTTGACACTCATTGTCAAAGCTAAAATATATTTCAATATCCTTGTTTGAGTTTTGATGTACAGTGTAACCTGAACAACCAACCTCAGTTCTCAACCTTTCTTCGTTAAATTCAATGCATTATAAGAAGCCTTTTGAAGTCTATCCCTGACCGAAATACATGTTTTTCAGTTCCAAAGTCCATATTATATATTCAAATA